TGAAGGCATTAGAAAATGTTTTCGTTTATTTACAAGAGACTCAAAGTAAGAAGAAAAAACATTTGATGAAAATCATATGAGAATTATGACATTTAGTATCTATGCTACCTATTAGTAAATGAACGTAGCATCACTGAAGTATTATAATTAAAATATTATAGATGTAAACATATTTAACCAAATATTTGTTAAACCAGATTCACAACTCTCTCTACTCTTCCATTCGTCTTTAACTCGTCGACTTTAGTCTAGAACAAATCTCGTCTTTGATTTCTTTCTAGAAGAAATAATCTTCTTGTATAGATTCTCTTCTCTTTTTCTCATATCTTCTTATTCAATCCACTTCGAGTTTTCTAATATTCTTGTAAGTTGAAGCATAAATCGAGCCATAAGTTGGAGTCTCTTTTCCTCTTTTCACTATTCATCGATTCCTTTCTAAAACTGAGAAGCAATCTTACAAAATAAATTGAGATGAACTGAAATTAATCAAAATTGTACAACCGAAAATTAAAAATCAATGGTCAATTTTATGACTTACTCTTCCTGAACAATTTTGATATGAAGTCGTGGGAATTTTTCTAAAAGCACCGCCACAAGATGCACCTAATTGTACTTTTACACGGTGTTGATCTCTTCCCCGACGCGGCTTCAAACTCCACAACCACAATCCATCTTACGGTTCGTATTTTTGCAAAAAATAAAGTAGATATTATGCCAATTGTCAAAATCGAAATGGAAACTCTAGGAGAAATGAATGCATGACAATTTGAATCGTAGAAGAATTAAACAGTTTGAAAAAAGGTTTGTAAAGGAAATTGTTGTGAAGTGGTTTCAGAGTTCATTTAAATATTGGCCATAAACAGTTCATGTAACTAAATGTGAGAAGGAAGTGGGGATCGTGGTCTGAGAGGAAGGAAAAGTTGAGACTTTGAGATAGATAAAACCAATTTTTCTATCTTTTTTCGGTTTAGTTAAAAAAGACATAAACTGTTTTATAAATTATTTTTTAATTAATTATGAAGCACAAGCCATTGGGCATAACACTATTGGCTATGTGACTTGTGATTTAGTATAATAAGGATAAAATGTTAATTAATAGATTGTTTCAATTCGGTTTTTTGTTGGGTTCGGACCGGTTTGGATTTTATGTATAAAACCCGAAAATATTTGAAATTGTTTCGAGTACCGTCTGTAGTATTGATTTGCATAAGTATGTTTGGTTAGCTACACCATGTATAGTTAGAGCGAACCACGGCATGCTTGCTAAAAGTAACAATGCAACTCTTTTATGACAAATGAGACTGTTTTCTCTTCTGTGCATGAATGTAATGGTCTCAAGAGTTCCTGTGATACCCGAAAATATTTGAAATTGTTTCGAGTACCGTCTGTGATCAATGTCATCATGGATCTACATGTGGAAGAGAAGAAACGAAAAATGTTGTAGAAAATGAAAAAACAAAAAAAATCTAGAGAGTCAATATCGTAGACACCACCGCTTCAAATGTCAACATCATTTTTCTTCTTGGGACGTGATGAGAAGAAAAATTTCCTGTGCAACCTTCAACAACGTCCAATCATGGCTCCAATCATCAAACACCACCGCTTCGGTTTCTCCCTGTACAAATCAAATTCATTAGTTAGTAAACACTAAACATGCAATAAAATAAAAGTTAGTATACATGCAATAAAATAAACATGTTATTAGTAAGCAAGCAAATACCAGGCAGAAGATTTCAGGTGGAACATCACGATTCATCAAGTCAACTACCACTTCAACTATCGAGTTGAGAACATGCAAGTGAAAGGTCGTGAATATTCTCTCATGTGGAAATGTCACGAATGTTGGTCCTGGTAGATGTCTAAGCATGAGCTCGAGCTCAGAGGCGTATGCGAGCTTTTTCTCTTCAAGAAGAGCCACCTATATACACACAAAACAAGTTACACAAATACACAATTAGATATTACACAAATACACAATTAGATATACACAATAAGAAAAGGCATAATAAACAAAATAAAAGAAGAGTGAATTCACCTGGTCCGCATCATGGTCAGCATTGCCGGCAACAGGAATCACTGTAGCAGCAGAAGCGA